GACTCGACTCGACGAGTTGGGGAGCCCCAACTCAACGAGTAGACGCTAGAAAAGAAAACCCTAATTTTCAGGGTTTGCACCCTATTTAAAGGCCTTAAGCCTCATTGTTAGCCTCCCCTATCGCCCCCTTTGTCTAGAGAAACCCTAGTTCGTTCTTTTCCCACCATTTTGAGTGTGTGAGAGCTTAAGGAGTGCCTTTTTGGTGTTTATGTGAAGAAGCTTGAAGTGGTTGGTTCATAACTAAAGGGAGAGGTTGTAGATCTGGTGTTTACTTATGGCAACCATTTTAAGGTATAAAGTCGATACCTTGACCATTCTTTTGCTAGATCTCTTCCCTTGAAAGTTTATGGCCATTATTAGCCTATTTTGGGACCATTCTTGGATTTGAGCATGTTATGGAGATATGGATTCAGATCTTGACATCTAATGGCCTTTGTAGACTTAAAGCTGCCAACTTTATCAAGTCTTGGCCCTCCTTCATGCTCTAAGTCCCTTAACAAGCTTTGTTTTAGTGTTTTAGCCTCTTGATACCATGCATGGACGTAAAGTTAGCAACTTTACGTGGTATTTCAGTTATAGGGGTCCATATCTATAGTTTGGGGCTTCGGATCCACTTAGAAGGGGCTGAATAAGTTAAGACTGGGAAAACTCGACAAATTGCCCTCACAACTCGACGAGTTGGATCGGGTTTTCCCACTTTCTGGATGCTGCGGGAACTCGACGAGTTGTTCTGCTGACTCATAGAGTTGGCTCGAACGTTCCCGATTTTCTGAACATTGAAGGAACTCGACGAGTTGATAGTTGCACTCGACGAGTTGGGTCAACATGGACTGTTGACCTTGACTGTTGACTTTGACTTTGACCATGGTTAACCAAGTTTGAATTTAAGGGTATTTTTGGTATTTTGGGATTTTGACAAGTTAGTCACATGGTGGTTGTAGGGCAGTTGAGTTGGAGCTGTGAGTTGGGATTTGACCTTACCAGTTCAACATTCCTTGAGTGGTGAGTCTCCTCACCATACGAATGGGTCAAAGGCACCAAGGTCAGCCCATTTTGTGATACACTAGTTGATTTTGTGATATGTGGTACACTAGTTGATTTAGTGATATATGGTATACTAGTTGGTTATGTGCTATGTGGTATGCTAGTTGTCTCTGTGATATTTGCATGAAAGACCATGGGGGAGCCCATGATACTTGGATATCAGACCATGTGGGGGAGCCCATGGCATTCCAGGTAAAGACCATGGGGGAGCCCATGACACTTGGATATCAGACCATGTGGGGGAGCCTATGGCTTTCCAGGTAAATACCATGGGGGAGCCCATGACACATAGGTGTAAGACCCTGGGGGAGCCCACGACATCCTGGAGTAAGATCCTGGGTGGAGCCCACGGCATCCCTATATGTTATATGCATGGATTATGTGATTGATATGAATTATATGATTATGTGGGGTATGCTTTGGGGAACTCACTAAGCATTAGCTTACAATTTATTGGTTGTTTCAGGTACTTCAGGATCTAAGGGCAAGAGCCCGACGTGATGGCGCGACATGCACTCTCTGACATTTTATTTGGGACACCATGATATTATGTATAATTTATTTGATGTTGTGGATTTTGAAAACAAATGTGCATGGAAATTTTATATCTTATGGAAATGATTTGATTATTTAAAATGAAAATTTTTATTGGAAATTTGGGCTGTTACAAAAACACTTCCACTACTACTTATTTTCTGATTCTTTTGACACTTGAGCACATTCACTTCATTTCAAAGATTAGCTAGCACTTTTAAATTTATTTCGATTTAATATAATTTCTAAGGCGAGTGATTTCATCAACTCCCGAGGATTTATGCCGGAGATTCAAAAAGATTAAGGGCTTTCCTCGTAATTTACTGTGTTCTTGCATTTACTTTTATATACCTGTTTTTGCTTAATCGATAACAAGTTACTCTATTGTTCGCTTAATTGTTAATCTATTTTCTATATTAAAATTACTAAGATATCTTTTGGTGTCTTGGTATCTTTGTTATTATCTTAAATCTTTATTACGCATATTCACTTATCAATCACTTTAACACTATTTTTTTCCCAAATATACTATTTTACATCTAAAAAATACTACACTTTAACTTAATATCTCTTCGAGCACTGTTGTTTTCCACCCCAGATCTTAGGCACAACCAAGATCTTCAGCACATTTCAAAATCTTAAAACACTTTACTTTTACTTACCTTATTTCAAACATAACACCACACTTACTAATTTGGTTACAAAATTCGTTCGTTAAATTTTGACAAAAACATAACCCAAAGTGAATCAACACATATTTAAACTGAACTTGTCATAAACCAAAGTTGATTCTTCATCCATATTTCTCTACATCAAACATCATGGGATTGTATTTTGACATCGTATCTGTATCCCCAAATAATATTATACAAGAAAAATTCTCCAAGCTTATAAGTATCACACCCAACAAAGGATTCTTAGGAAAGAGAGGTGGGTCATAACGTACACACTTAAGTACTAAGTCTTTCAAATAAAACATTATAAGTTACATACTCTCGATTCGTATATAATTCTATTGTACACAAAACAGTCAACCAAATCCTCATTTCTAATGTGAAAGATCATACCAAGCTGCAACCACAGAGCATAAGAAGAATCTTTAAAGTGTCACGATATTTCCAATATAATCAATAGAAATTCATTATGATGTGGAAGATCAGACAAAGTTGTAACCACAAAGCATACTATGAACTTCTAAAACAGAAACCTCCTCCAAACTCATAGTTCTAATACCACTTGTTGGGAAAATGGCCTCAATGACCCCTAACAGTTTTTCCAATAACAATAATAGAGAAAATAACTAGACACAAGAATATACGTGGAAAACTCTAAAACCGGAGAAAAACCATGGGCCTTCAGATAGAAAGATTTACTATATAAAAAATTGTTACAATCACATAGACTAATCTCTCAACCCCCCTCCCTTTGCAAATTACACTCAAATTTTTAAAAGTTTTGACTAACACTTTCTATACTAAAAATTGGAGGAATAAAAAAAAGAATCAAACACTTCAAGTTTAAAACCAAAGTGTGGTCTTCTTTTATAGGTTGAAACCACCCAAATTTCATTCCTTATACCAATATAGAATGGAAACACTATTCATTCTTCAGCCAAAAACGTCAACAAAAAGTTATCATGTATGTCTTATGTAAACACACATCATACTCTTCATCCTCTTGTTCTTATGTATCACTAACTTCTAACACATTTCTCATCAAAGTTGCAATGATTTATCTCAAGTTTCAGTTTTATAGAAATTATGTTCGAAGGTCATGGTGTTACTATTGCTTGTAATATACTTATCAAAGTTAGTATGAGTAATTAAAAGAACATTTGGACTTAAATTTAGTTTTAGGATATCTCATACTTTTAGTATGGGAAAACGACTTAAAAATATAACGAAGTTTTCAAAATGTTCAAAATATTGTTTCTTTAGTACAAATATACCATTAAAATATATTTTGTGTACATAGAATACCAACGAAGTACACATGTATTCAAATAAAACCTTGTGGTAACCGGTTACTTCGGGTAAACGGAAAAATGACCTAAACGGGCAATAAAGTTTCCAATATGTTCAAAAAATACCATTGTTTTTTTAGTATAAAAATTACCAATGAAGTATACCATTTGTACACAGAATACCAACGAAGTACACATTTTAGTACAAAAAATATCATTGAAGTCTCCAAAATGTTAAAAAAAAAATACTATTGTTGTTTTTTCAGAGCATCTTTTATTAACTTCATTGTTTCCGGATTATGTAGAACACAGTCATTGGAGATCATTCACCGCCGTACCAGTTCACAACACATATTCTTCTCTCTTTACTTTGACTACAAATCGTCATCAAATCAGCCACATGACGCTGAGTGTTCCTGACCATTCATCTCTCATGACATAACGTCACACTCGTTTCTCATTTGTGTCTCTCTTGTGCTGCAACACTAATGAACGATTAACCTTGATGTATAATATGTGTATCTATATAATGTATATATATTTTAGGTTTGAGGCATATAATGCGATCGGGAAGCAAGAACGTTCAACTAAGGTTATTACCCACTTACTTATCATGTTACTGTAAGAACGATCAAGTGAGGGAATGAAAGAGATTGCATAATTGTTGTGCACTGATATGACGGTGCATGATCTCTGGTGACTGTGTTCTACATAATCCGACAACAACGAGTTAACAAAAAGTGAAGTATTTTTTGAACATTTTGGAAACTTCGTTATGCTTTTAAGTCATTTTTTGTTTACCTGAAATAACCGGCTACCACAATGTTTTATTTGAATGCATGTATATTTTGTTGGTATTCTATGTACAAATAATAACTTTAATGGTGTTCTTTGTACTAAAAAAACAATAATAATATTTTTTGAACATTTAATAACGTGGTAACCTAATGGTTACCTACAATAGTCGGTTCAATGATATTTTATGTATTAAAAAAAATAATGGACATTTTTTACATTTTGAAAACTTTGTTATATTTTTAATCCAAAATTAATTTTCAAGCTACTATGATTTTAAGTACTTTTTTGAAGGATAGAATACTTTGATACAAAAGACAAAATATGTCAAATGTAAAAAAAATGGCCCATGCAGGTCTCGAACCTGCGACCTTCGCGTTATTAGCACGACGCTCTAACCAGCTGAGCTAATAGGCCATCTATTTTCTACTATCGGTTATGTGATTTAACAATTGGTATATATCTTTACACACATTTTAATATAACATCGATCTTCGGTTTCCAGATGAAGCTCAGGATTCAACAATGGCTTCCTTCACTAAGGCCGTAAGGCGGTAAGTGATTGTTCAGTTGATTTGTATGATCAAGAAGTTCAGATGCGATGTTTGAAGATGATATGTAAGATTGAGTTTTTAATCACAAAACATCGATTAAAACAGCTGCAATGCTCCATGGAAGACGAAGAACAGCATCACATAGCAAACCCCTTTTTCGAAATCCACTTATTCGAAGCAAAACCACAATTATTCGACCCAATACTTCAAAATCAAAACTGGGCACCTTCCTCCTCGTTGCTTCCATTGTAAAATCCCTCTCCGAGCCCGGGGGTACTCGTAACCTTAACAATGAAGAATCGAGTTTGATTTCACTCTCTGAGCCACTCGTTCTTCAAATCCTCAGAAGAAGCTCTCTTGATGTATCCAAAAAGATTGATTTTTTCAAGTGGTGTTCTCTCAGACATAACTACAAACACTCGGCGGGCACTTACTCTCAGGTACTCCAAACCCTCTGTATAAACCCCGTGATACATAAAAATGACATCTTTGAGTTTCTTGCCTCCATGAATCGAGAAGGCGTGGTTCTTGATTCGTCAACATTCAAATTCCTCCTCGATTCTTTCATAAAGTCTGGTAATTTCGATTCTGCTCTCGAAATACTGGATCACGCGGAGAATATATTGGATAGATTAAACCCCGATGTTTACAACTCTGTTCTCATTGCCCTTATCCGTAGTAATCACCTAACCATGGCTCTATTTACATTCTTTAAGCTCTTGGATTCCATCACAGATGAAAACAAGAATTCTATGGATGCTGCGACTTGTAATGAGCTGCTTGTAGCCTTAAGAAAGGCAGATACTAGAGCAGAATTCAGAAATGCTTTCGATAAGTTAAGGGAAAAGAAGAATTTCCCTATGGACGTGAGGGGTTATAATATATGTATTCATGGGTTTGGTAATTGGGGAGAATTGGAATCATCATTGAATCTTTTCAAGGAGATGAAAGAAAAGAGCTTGTTTGCTCCTGATTTGTGCACTTACAACAGTCTAATTCAAGCTCTCTGCTTCAATGGAAAAGTGAATGATGCTCTTATTGTTTTTCAAGAATTGAAAACATCAGGACATGAGCCAGATCCCTTCACTTATCGTATAATCATGCAAGGCTGCTGTAAATGTTACAAGATAAATGATGCCACAAAGATCTTTACTGAAATGCAGCATAACGGGTTTCTTCCAGATACAATTATATACAACTCTCTCCTTGATGGGTTTCTGAAATCAAGAAAACTTACAGACGCATGCCAACTGTTCGATAAAATGTCTGATGATGGAGTTAGGGCTTCTTCCTGCACATACAATATATTGATTGATGGGTTGTTTAAAAACAGAAGAGGTCAAGCTGCATACGCATTGTTTGGTGATTTAAAGAAGAAAGGTCAATTCGTGGATGGAATCACTTATTCCATTGTTATATTACATATCTGTAAAGAAGGAATGATTGATGAAGCTTTGGAATTGGTAGAAGAGATGGAATCAAGAAACTTTGTTGTCGATTTAGTCACAATAACTCATCTTTTATTAGCTTTTAACAAAGAAGGAAGAAGAGGTTGTGAAGAAAGACTCATGAAACACATCAAAAACAGTAATCTAATGCCAACTCTTCTTAAATGGAAAGCTAACATGGAATCATCAATGAAAGATCCACAAACCAGAGAAAAAGATTCCACCTTTATGTTTCCCATGAAAGGAGACTTTAAAGAAATCTTATCTTTAATAACACAAAACACAAATCCTTCAAGAAAACACACCATTGACATTAACCCATGGTCATCATCTCCATACATGGATCATTTAGCTGATGAAGCAAACTCCAACAAACAAATATTATCATCATCAAAAGGGAAACGAGTTCAAGAAAAGGGTAAAAACATAAATTCATTCGATGTTAACATGATGAATACATACATATCTATATATCTAACAAAAGGAAAACTCAGTTTAGCCTGCAAATTGTTTGAAATATTTACCGATTTAGGCGTTGATCCTGTTTCCTACACTTACAATTCATTAATGAGTTCATTAGTGAAAAAAGGGTATTTGAATGAGGCGTATGGGGTTTTTTCTGAAATGGGAAACAAGAAGGATAGTGCTACTGCTGCTGACGTGGCAACCTACAATATGATATTTCAGGGGTTGGGGAAGATGGGGCGTGCTGATCTGGCGAGTGCTGTTTTGAGAAGACTGACAGATGGAGGTTTTGTTGATTTGGTGATGTATAATACTTTGATTAATGTATTGGGAAAAGGTGGAAGGTTTGATGAGGTGAATAGGGTTTTAGAGGAGATGAAGAGAAATGGGATAAACCCTGATGTTGTTACTTATAATACACTTATTGAAGTTAATAGTAAAGCAGGAAGATTGAAAGAAGCTCATAAGTTCTTGAAGATGATGGTGGATGCAAATTGTGCTCCAAATCATGTTACTGATACAACTTTGGAGTTTTTAGAGAAAGAGATTGAGAAACAGACAAAGAAACAGAAATCAAAGTGAGTTTGTTTGATTTGCATTGATTCAAATTTCAATCTTTAATTTTTGGAGTTCTCAATATAATGGTTTATGATAGTGTAGTGTCTATGTGTGAAATTGAAAGTAGATGATAAATTACACTACATAGAAGAAGAATATGAAGTTGTTTAAGGTGAATGAATTGAAAATAATAGAGATCTTATTTGGTGAAAGTATAGTTATTTATTTACTTGGTGTATATTTTGGGTATGAAATTATTTTGAAAATTTTAAAAGTAAATATTATTTTTGAGAATAGTAATATTGGAAAGATTTTGTAAGATATATAAATTACACTAAATTCTTTGAATTTTGGTCATTGACTTGTGTAAAATGACTTTAATTATCCTTGTATAATTTGTGACATTTGTCGTATCTTTTTTTTTTATAATTATTATCTAATTAATTACAATTATTATTTAATTTGGTTGGACCCACCCCACCAACTTTCTTTTAATATTCAGTTTTCCTTATTTTTAGGGGATTCTATCCGCATCATAGAATTGTTATTGGCACCTAAAACTTGGGCCAAATTCTAAAAAGTCAATACCACCATTTTGTTAGAAACCCAAATTGAAATGACATTTAAACAATATAATATTGTAGTATTAAACTTTATATATATATATATATATATATATATATATATATATATATATATATATTATCTTTTCGGTATAAAGAAACGAAATATGCTATTTTTTAATTTATATCTTATTTTATTTTTTATCATTTGAGTATAAAGAACGAAATATGCTATTTTTCGTAATTACATATTTATAATTTGGCAAAATTGATGAGTTTTAAATAAATATATAAAAAAATAACTTATTAAATAGTTTTAAGTTTTTTTAGAATGGAAAACATACACATACATTTTAACATTATATATAAACATATTTGTTTTGTTTATGTTTGTTCGTTAACAAACTTAGTGTGTTTATGTCTGTTATGTTCGTTCGTTTAGTGGATAAATGAACATAAACGAACACAAATGAATATAAATGAACACAAACACAAACGAAAGAGGGGAACACAAATTGTTGGTATCACGTCTGTTTAAGCCTGAAATCCCGACTATTTTGACATGTAGTGGGTGCAACCTGCTATTATTGGGTGGGACCCGTGGGCGAGACCCGTTTATATGTTTATTGGGCGAGTCCCTCTATAGTATGTGGTATATAGGGAACTCACTAAGCTTTATGTTTACGGTTTTAAGTTTAAATGGTGTAGGTCTTTTTGGTAGTACGGGGAAGACAACGACGTGATTGCATCGAATCTGTTGTTATGATTATGAGATGTTCCACACTATTGATTTTATTAATACTCTGATTTATGTTTTGAAACAATCGAATGTTGCTTTGATGAATGAATGACACAATTTCTTTTGATTTTAAAATAAAATTTTTTAGTTGAAAATTTTGGGACGTTATATAGTTAGGTACCGGTGAGACGACCATATATCGTCTAAGGACTAATCAGAAATCAATACGACCCTAATCAAACATAGAAAAGAAAGACAAAAGTTATTAATACGATACTAAATATAAATAAAAGACAAATTATGATGGTTTTTAATACGAGACTAATCAAATATAAATAAAAGACAAAAAATATGATAGTTTTTAACAAATATATTTTTTATTATTAAAAAAAATTCAATTTAAAGATTATAACTTCAATAAGTAAAAAAAATGTATAGAGACATTATTAGAAACTAAAGTTATATAATTATAAATATTGATATAAAAATAATTAGTCTAAATTAAAAAATGAAAATAAAGTTTTTTATTGTCTTAAATAAAAGAAAAAGAAAATTTGAGGTTCACGTATTAGGAGTTAGGACCATATCATTATCGTTAGTTAAATATGATTTTTTTTAATAGTCTCTTTTTTGTTTGATTAGACCAATAGTAGTTTTGACTATTTTTGAATAGTTTTACTAAGGTTTAGATAGAATTCGGGGGTTTTAAAGGCATCTTGAATTGCCTAAAAGTCAAAATAGACCTGTGAAGAGACTTTTTTTCGCACAAAAAACCAAAGCTTTCAAACGTCTAATATCTCCCTCTAAGACTATCCGGAATCCTTACAACATATATACGCGTGAAAACAATTTCATAACCCTTTCACAACCAACCCACTATACTTTGGGGATGGTGTTCACTAGTGAAGAACTAGTGAACAACCAATAAAGAAGAGAGAGAGGGAGACAAATGGAAGAGAGAGATAGACACAATGCCTTTGGTGATCTTCCATGGTAGTCACCACTCCACAAGACACTCATTACATATTGGGGTGATGTTCACTAGTGGAAAACCCTTCCACATAGGATCCACATAGGATCAATGTAGGATACCTACGTGTGAGAAGGTCTCCATACCGTATGGCCTAAAATCATAATTGTTGGTCAAAAAGACATCACATTTTATCATATAGACACTCTAATTAAATTTTGATATTTTTATTGGTTGAAATTACATTGTTTTCCGAAAAAAACTAATTATAAGTAGTTAATTACATGTTGACTTTTTATAAATGGGTTAATGTGGTGTCTTATTAGCATCACCAAATTGATTCTTCCATTTACTTATTTACCCTTCAAAGTATATCAAACTTTTAATTTAAACCTTTATATTTTATAGTTTCTATGATTAAACTTTATTATTACTATATTAATTTTATTTATTAAAAGCTTAACAATTAACAATTTTGTATTATCCAAACGATTTTTATTTAATTAAAAATAAAAATTTTTGTAGTATGTAACAAAGTTTTAATTAATATATCATTTACTATTTTTATTTTTAAATTTAAAGTTATTTGCCAAAATGTAAAATAAACAAAACAAAAACATATCCAACTAAGTTATATTATTATAATATAACGAATATTTTCTTCTGTATCATGCCAAATCTAAAAGCATGACGACGTACCAACTCACATATCCATCTCTCTTTTGAAGACTAAGTTGACTGTCGGAGCGTAGCTCCGGGACACCCTCGTAGAACACGACTGATGATTAATTTTTAATACAATCTTTGAAGTTAATTGTTGTTTTTTTGTTTTTGTTTTATTAGTTTTTTAACTTTTAAACTAAATATTTGATTTTTAATTTTTATAAACACTTGGAATCTTTAAACAAACCGTAGGTACCTAAACAACAACAATTTTAATTTATTTTTCACAAACTCACTAAAATAGTAAAACAAAAAAGTCATTCATTTGTTTTTTTTTTCTTAATTTGGATGAAAAAATACTCGTTATATTTTATGATTTTACATATTTATTAAAATTCAAATATAAAAACTTCAAAAAGTTATTTTAAAAAATTCTTTATATAAAATCATTAATATAATGAATACAAGTATCCTTTTCGTTTTTATGATTTTTGAATTTTTTTTTTGTTTTTATAGAAATAAAAATAATAAAAATTTCCCAAATATCTATGTTTATGTTCATTTTATAGATGATTAAATGTTAAAAAGTTTGATTTTTTTATATTTTTTTCTTACAAGAAAAAATTATGACCAAAATACGAATGTTTTAATTTATTTAATCAAAATATACTGAAAAAATTATATATATATATATATAGATATATATATATATATATATATATATATATATATATATATATATATAACACAAAGGATTGTAAATGAAATATTTTAAAATTAAAATCGATTTTTTTAAACGGAAATATACTAAACTACACCTAAATTATTACATTTATGTCCACTACGTGACTTGAACCATCAACCTCAAGAAAGGAGGGCAACACCGGATACCGTTAGTCTAGAAATCCTTTGGTAATTAAAAATGATTAATACAAAAAATAAAATATAGAATAAAGGACCAGAAATGTAATTTTGTTAATAATGGGTTCATCATTGTCGGAATTTTATTGCCATGTTTCAATATTTTTACATTATTAATAGTGGTTTATTACTAGTGGTTTTGACGGTGTCAGTGGTTTTGACTAGGGGTGTTGATCGGGTAATTTTTTCGGGTAATTGAGGCTGGGTAATTCGGATTTTTCATGTTAAAAACATTGTCCGTTACCCGACCCAAACTAAATTCGGGTAATTCAGGTGTGGGTAATTCGGGTATCGGGTCGGGTTTGGGTAATTCGGGTATTACCCGAAATATATAAATTTTTTTTTTTAATTTCAACTGAAAATAAATTTAATGAAATAAATTCGTCGTACTTTATTAGTCTTGTTTATATAAACAAACGAGACATAAACGAAGTTACTCAAGCTTTGAACATTGAGATTTTTTACTCAATAATACCTGAGATATCAAGTAATTTTGTAACTACTTAATCTAATCTAATAAGATGTTTAAAAAACAAATACTTAAAGATCTTAATTTAAAAGTTTAAAATGTTTAAGATAATTGTAGCAATATGTTTTGTCATGTTCTGAAGTTTTGTCAAGATAATGAGTTTGTTAGTTGCAATAAAAACTATAATCTAGAAAACAGTTAAGTTTTAAAGAACATGATAAAAGAAATTCATGTTTTACAATAATGATAATTAGTTTAAGTGTGATCAAATACCTGCTACCGAGTACAAGCTCTACGAAAAAAAAATTAAAAATAATTCGGGTGATTTGGGTATACTTGAAACCCAACAAACGTACCCTTTACCCGACCTGAAAAAAATCGGGTTACCCGATCACTCAAAAAAGTTTACCCGATACCTGAAAAAATCGGACGGGTAATTCGGGTATCGGGTATTTTCGATAGGGCTAGTTTTGACCTATAATGATGTGCCATTAACAATACGTGACTATGTCTAAATAATGATACCTGATGTAATTTCTGTCGTATTTGATATAATTAATTTTTTTATTTTTACTTTTTGGTTCAAATTAGTTAACTTTTATGCTTATGTTTATAATTATAAAATAAAATTACATGATTGGTCCTATATTTTTCAAAACAAACATATTAATTAAAACTTTTATGCGTTTAGTTTCCGTG